GCCTACATGGTACACCGACTTGACGATGTTCACATTAGAAGCAGCAATGGCGGACTATCACAGAAGATAGACTGGCCAAGCAAACAAAATCAACGCAAACGATGTTAGAAGGGATTCCAGTAGATCGACTTTGTTGATGCGGTACACCAAATGTTCGGGTTGTTGAATGCAAAGACGAAGTCGAGACTGATAGACCCGCCAAAGCAAGATCAGAGATCTAAGAGGAAGGTGAAATCTGGGTTTTTGGGTACAAGCAATGAAATTGACGAGGACGGTCCTTTTTTGGATGAAGATTTTCCTAAAGAGTACAAGATGATGAAGTTCAGTACATGGTTTGTGATTCAATTGGCGAGTTTGATTTTGATTATTGGTGCTTTAGCTTGTAGCCTTGCAATTCCCAGATTTAGGAACAAAAGATTGTATGAACATGAATTGTGGAAATGGGAACTCATGATTTTGGTTCTGATTTCGGGTTGTGAAAAATCCGAAACGAAAATTCAAAACCATTTCAGTGTGCCTTATTTCACGTGTTCATGTCACGTATGAAACAACACTATGACGTAACCACGTTCCATTTCTGTGCGTGTTACAAACCTACTAAATTAAAAAAGGTATTAGTGCGCTTTTCCGATCAACGTGATACACAAACACCCATTCAACTTCCCTATACAAACCCACGCCAATCAACCAATAATACTAGCAATGGCAAAATAGTCAACAAACAAATTAAGGAACCATCCAGTCACCAAGAAAACATTTAGGATCTTATGGATTACAAGTCCACAAAATGGGATTTACTAGTCAATTCCCCCCCAAAAAATATATATATTAAAGGCAAAGACTAGGTTGACGTTGTCAGTCGTTTGTGCAGTTTGGTACTTTCATTATAAGGGCATTTGGGTCATTTCACGTGTGGCCACTTCACAAAAAAGCCAAAAAGCCTATCCCCAATCAGGTTTTTAGCCCCAGGATAAAAAAAGTCAAAAAGCCAAAAAACTAACCCACTTCCTAAACCACACCTTTGAGACCTCATTTCCTTCACTTCCCACTTCCAAAAATGCTCATCCTTCCTCCCTAGGTTCTCTCTTTTCCACTTCAAGGCTTCATCATTACTTGGTGACTCGAGTTTTCCTTCGACTTTTCAGATTCCTCACTCCATGGCCTTCATTTCTATCGAACGGTTTCGAGCTTTAGCCATTCCTCGATCACTCTCAGGTATTCTTACTTTTTCTCTATCTTTTCTGGCTTTTCTTCCATTGTTGCATGCTTTCATGACTTTGTGTGAAATTTTTCGATAATTTCTCATGGATGCCAAGAGTTTTTCCTTGTGTTTGCCTTTTGTATGTGATTATTTTCCCATGCACATTACTCTTTTACCATCATTGTCCCACATTGTTCATACATATCCATGCTCTTGAGTTTTTGTCCCATCTCCTGTACTTTTTCACTATATTTGCCACCTTTTGTATCGTTTTTCATTGTGCTGCCTGTGATAGACTTTTTCATGACTTGCTATCTCCCACCTTTTCACCTTGCCACTTTTGTGTCTCTAGCCCATGCTCCATGGACTGGGATGGATCGTTTTCTTGAGATGGACGAGAATAGCCCTCGTTTAGTGATTCTCCAAGAGCCAGAGCAACACTTATCCTATACGGGCTATAGGGTATGATTTCCTTCCTCTTATTACATACTTTCCATTGCATTCCCTTTCTTTTTCTCAATAGTTCAGCTATCTCCAATTTTTCTTGCAGGAGCGCTCCCCTTCTGTTTGGGGCTTCGACTCCACATCTGGTACAGCTAAATGATCTGGCCTTTCCTGTGACCGTTAGGACTCCAGTGGATAGGTATGGCTTTGGCCCCTTATGAGCATCTTTGGACGATACTTGGGTTTTTCATGGTCTACTTGCAGCCCTGATGGAGAGCTGGTGGGACACCACGGACACCTCCCGTTTTCCCAGCTCTGGAGAGATGACTATGATGCCAGACGATTTCACAATGATGTTTGGCCTCCCAATCGGTGTCCTCCCTGTACTGCTTGACCTTGACCTTGCGTACCGAGATGATGCACTGAGGCATTTCTTGGGTATCGCTCCGCCTTATGAGAGGGGATTGGTTCTATTCAAGTGGTTCTACATCCATTTCCTACACCGCCAACCGATCTCTCATATTCAGATTACCCACTATACTAGAGGATTCCTGTTATAATTATTTAAGAGCGTTTTGTTCGCGAATAGGTCTAATAGGGTCCACATCTGCCTGCTGGCCTCTTTCGTGGATATGGGCCAGATTAGAGATTACGATTGGGGTGGCGCAACTTTGGCCACCATGTACGGTTATGCGAGTACTGTCTTGCGTAACCATGGTACCGAATTATCCAATTTTCAATCGTTTCCAATTCTCAAGAGTCACTGGCAAATTGCCTGAGTGCTTAACTTAACTTTTTTTCGAAAATTGTGACTCTCGAGACTCTCGCAGCATCAATTGATCGCAAATCTGTGGGAATTTCGAAACCCTACCATTGTGTTTGGTTACATTTTCAAATCAATTTTTGAAATGAAAATTTCAAAAAAACTTGTTTAGTTTACAATTTTTTAAAAATTGTTTTTCTCTTCTTTCTCCTCTCACATCATACACATCAATCAATCATTTTTTCTCTTTCCTCTCTCTTTCTCTCACATTTTACACATCAATTAATCAAATTTTTTTCTCACTCATCTATTCAACTATACAAAAAATTATAAATCATCCCAAAACTATTTTCAAAACATACAATTAAATAAATTTTTAAATTTTACAAACTCTTTGGAAAAAAACCATCTTTCAAAATTGATTCTCAAAATTAAACCAAATAGGGCTAAGTTTCTTGAAAAAAAAAAAAAAAAAAAAAAAATATTTTATGATGCCAACATTACCTCCCGCGGCCCTAAAAAATGATATTTATTTGAATTTTTGAAGGGCTGAACCAAGCACATGACTAATCCAAACTCATCAAAATGAAAATTCATACTTTTTGACATTTTGAAAAATGTCAAAAATTTTGAACCCAAAAAAAAAAAAAAAAAAAAAAAAACAATTTTTTTGGCCAATCAGGGAAGACCCCAGCACCCCACTGGGGTGTAAGTCATTTTTCTTTCTAGATTTGCTTGTTACAATGCCGACCCGGGCCTTCAATAGCCAAGTCAAAGAAGGCGACCGCTTCAAACTAGATTGCTTTATTTATTTATTTATTTTTTGGTATAAATTACAAATATACCTTTTAAAATTTGCTTAAAATACAGATTATTTCTTATAGTTTAAAAAATTATAAATACCCCTTTATTAGAATTTTTTATTTAACATAATTAACTAAAAAAAATGAAATTCATAATTGCTATTTTATACAATAATAAAATTACTTAAATTATTAATTGAATCATATTTTTAACATCATTAAAAACTGTTAATTGACTTGATAATTTATTAATAAAATGGACGATTTGTTATGAAATTAAAAATCTCAGGAGGTGAAATGTAATTTTCAAAATCATAGAAAGCAATTCGTATTTTAATCAAATCTCAGGAAAAGTATTTTGTAATTTACCCTAATTTTTAAAAAAATATTTGGGAGCTTTAATTTTTTTTTTTTTTTATGTATTTATACCTCATTAATGCTCAATTAGAGGTCCTAAATTACAGGAATGAATCATTATTGAATTTTTTTATGATGAATCAAACGTTGGGATGGTTTTGCTCTGATATTGTCCTGCACTTGCACTTTCATCTTTTAGAAATTGTGTTCACGTTGAGTTATATCAATAATATATACATTTTTAAAATAATTAAATAAAAATCGAACGTTGGGGATTGATACATATTACAAATTGATTGCTATTTCTGCACTACATTAGGCAACCCAATACAAGGCCTCATATTGAAACATTTTTATCAAAGAAGATTTTTATTTAGTAATCATAATGCTGTGTTTGGTTGAGGGATTTGATGAGGGATTTAAAAAGGGAAATAGAAAAGGTAGGTGAAATGTGAAAAAAATATACCTACATTTCACATAGTTTCACACATTTTTTTCCTTTCCCTTTCCAAATCCCTCCCCAAATCCCCTAACCAAACACAGTATAAAGGTTTTCCATCATGTTAACTTGAACAGTAATACTTCTATGCAAAACGTATCATTTCAATATTTTTTTATAAATATTTCATGGTACAGTAATAGCAAGTATAATGGTAGACCTTTAATGTCTAAATATTAAACTCCAACAATAAAATTTTACTCCATAAATTTACCATTTGTAGCCTACACTCCAAAACCTTTCTCGTTCCTTTAAGAGAGTAAAAGAACAACAAAAAGTTTGAGGGGCTAAATAGTGTGAATATCATTTTTTTTTTTTTTTAATTTAGGGATGTTCATAAACTAGCTTGGATTAATTTTAAAATAAACCATGAACAAAACTGGTCTTTGCGCTTCGAAGAAAAAATGAAACCAAACCATAAATAAACTTTTGGGATCAAACTAAGCAAACACTAACTTGGTTCTCGCTCAGTTCTATAGTTCTAAACTAGAAAATTTATCACTGTATCGACAAATTCAATTCAATCAAAATTTAATTCCATATATAAAAGCATCTTAAAAAATTCACAAACATAAATACAAATTTTCATAATATTCTCCAACTTTCCAATAATCTATAAAGACCAAATTCTTCATATTATATACTTAAATATTACACAAATGCAATTTTCAATAACATAGTAGTGTAAAAATCATATAAAGAGGGAATGATTCAGTTTGGTATTATTCAATTTTTTTTGCCTAAATCCCAAAAATGAATTGTAATCAATGGTTCTCAATTACTTAAAACCGGAGCCTAACCATCCTCTAAAAACACCTAGACCAAACCGTATGGTCTAGTTTGATCGGTTTACTGGTCTGTGTATATATATATATATATATATAGAGAGAGAGAGAGAGAGAGAGAAATGAGCTGGATAAAACCCTATTGCTTTGAGTTCCAAAAAAAAAAATCCTATTGCTTCATAATTTACAGAGTACACCTGTTAATTTATTGAGGATTTCTGAGTCCTCCCATTAAAAAGACCGAAAACAAAATAAAGATATCAGAGTCCTCCAGGATTGACACCATCTACCACGTTGTGCTAAACTTGTTTGACAAACTATTCTGAAAACACCCATTTTAAAGAAAATACTTTCAAATTGTTTCATGAAATTTTTATTTTAAAAACTGTTTTCGTATGAAGAATGAAAATGATATGAAACCCAATGAGTGTTTCCAAATTTCTCAATGAAAAACGAAAATTTAAAAAATGATATACCAAACAGGGATGTATTCTCATCTCAGGTACTAGTACCCTGATCTTTGTGTTGATAGAGAGGTTCCAAACATTCTTTAGCCCTGTGAACTTTTGATTGGAGGTAAAAGCTCCCATTCTTAGCATTATTTTCAAATAGATTATCGTACTTCTGCACAGGTTGAAGAAATTCGTTTAATAAAATGCAAATACAATATACTCCACAAACGAAATTCACTAGAAAAAGAAAAAAAAAACCAACAAACAAAAAAACACTAGCCTGCGCAATCTCCTCCCATGTCGACCGCTCAGTGATGCCGAGAATCTGTCTTGCCTCTTGCTCTGTCATGATTTTGCTTGCTCTACGCACACCATTCTGTATCGTCTCCTGAGCAACCCCAGTTTTCGAGGCATCTGAAATTAATAACATCAAAAACTATTAAGGAAAATTACATAATAAATAAGGTAAATTACGGTTTGCACCCTTGCACTTTACACTAAATCTCACTTTGGTTCCTACACATGAAATTGTGACAATCAACCCCTACACTTCTGGTCAAGCACCAATGTCACCATTTTGTTAGTCAATTGTTTAAGTTTTTAATAGAATTCAGTCATGTGACAAGCATATGACTACGAAATGTGGGCAAAGGAGGGAAATCATTCCATTTCCCGCATATAGACATTTCGTCTCAAAATTTACATTAAATTATGACTGTATTCGACTAGAACAAAACACATATTGTGAATAATTAAAGAGATGAACTAAGATTTTGTAGAAATTGAAATCTCGACTAGAACAAAACACATATTGTGAATAATTAAAGAGATGAACTAAGATTTTGTAGAAATTGAAATCATGAAACTCTGTTTTTCACAATAACACAATATTTCGTCTATTCCTCTTCCATTCTCTTCGATTTCTCTGCTGCATTTTTTATTTCAAAAGCTCTATTTTTTTCTCTTCATCCCTATTTCCAGCATATGAACATATATATATATATATATATTGTATTATATAACTCTCTCGTGCTTATCACGTAAGACAAAATATGTATTGGTGGGAAATGTGGATGATTTTTCTTGCCCTACATGCTTGTCACATGACTGCATTCTGTTAAAGACATAAATAATGAAGTAACAGAAGGGAACATCAACACTTGACTATCACGATTTCATGTGTAAGGACCAAAATAAGATTTGGTATAAAATGCAAGGGCGCAAAGTGTAATTTACCCTAATAAATATATAAACTGTGTTGTAATTAAAATTTTCAAATTAAACACTAATTTTGAAATTGGCATCAATCGTGTTAGAGGGGAAAAATCTAATTCAAAAATTGAAGTTTGTCATGAAAAGAATAAAGAGAAAAACCAAAGTCCTTTTTTTTATTTCAAAAGCTCTATTTTTTTCTCTTCGTCCCTATTTCCAGCATATGAACATATATATATATATATATATATATATATTGTATTATATAACTCTCTCGTGCTTATCACGTACGACAAAATATGTATTGGTGGGAAATGTGGATGATTTTTCTTGCCCTACATGCTTGTCACATGACTGCATTCTGTTAAAGACATAAATAATGAAGTAACAGAAGGGAACATCAACACTTGACTATCACGATTTCATGTGTAAGGACCAAAATAAGATTTGGTATAAAATGCAAGGGCGCAAAGTGTAATTTACCCTAATAAATATATAAACTGTGTTGTAATTAAAATTTTCAAATTAAACACTAATTTTGAAATTGGTATCAATCGTGTTAGAGGGGAAAAATCTAATTCAAAAATTGAAGTTTGTCGTGAAAAGAATAAAGAGAAAAACCAAAGTCCTTCAGAAATGCAAAGTCTGCGGAGCAACGCAGTTTGAATCAAAAGAAACTCTCACAATAAATAAATAAATAAATAATTTAAAAAAAAAAAACCTCACGAGAAAGAAGTGGAAAGAAAGGACGATATAAATGTCCTAAAGATAAAGGGCTCAAAGATGAGCCCAAGGCCATGGACTACAACCTCTAAGTCATGGTTTCCACAAAGTCCTCATAGAGGAAAATCTGTCGGATATAAATCTCTCAGGATTTAATTTTCTCGAAGAACCCAATGGGTGAGAAACACATAAACCTCATCATTCGTGCTTCTGAAAAGGGTCAAGGACTCTAGGATAGCTTCAATTTTCCGAAATCGCAACGATTAAGTTCCTCTCGAAGATAGGAATGGCGCCAAACGGTCCCTATTCAAAACCCGCGTCCTACAAAGGAGCTAGATACCCCAAGGGCTCCCGAATAGCTTTCCAAGATTGAGCAATGCGACTCTATAGAAGATAGAAAGGCTAATCATTTGCCCCTATCCAAAACTTGCATCCTACAAAGGAGCCAGATACCCCAAGGCTCCCCATATAGCTTTTTTGAGACACGGCGATTAAGCCTTTCTCGAAGATAGAAAGGCCAACCATTCTCCCCTATTCAAAACTTGTTTCTATAAATGGGTCTGACCAAACCAAGGCCCTAGGATAGGCTCCGAGAATGAGTAATGTGACTCTCTCGAAGATGGGAAGCACAATCAAGTCCCTATTAACAAATACAAGCAAAATAAAATTTCCGCCCAACATCGAAATGGCAAGACTTGGGAAGTCCTCTCGGACTCTAACCTCATGATAGTAGTATGGTTGATATCAAGACTATGTTCTACTAGTTTCGTCAGGATGTTTGGAGAACATGAGGTTTGGTGGCTAAAAGTAAGGGATCGTCTACGCATTTGTGAATCTCGAACTCCGATTACTCTCAAAACCACTTGGGGGGAAGAATGTTGCATTTGTCTCGACTGGACAACATGAGAAACAAATATTCCCCTGTGGTCCCAAAGGTCACGTGACAACATCATTCATTTGCTTGGCCCCCAAATAGGCACCCATATTCATAACCCTAATTCATGCTGGAGTGAGGCTATTCACCCACGAGTGAGGGTAGTGGTTGAGTTAAGGATATTCTGCCATTGTCTCTTTACTCTGTTTGCCTTACTTTTCACCCAATGGATTCTCTCCCATCATCTCTATCTTCATCTTCTCAGGCTGACCGTTCTCAAGTTTCACCTTACCATTGATTCTGTCCATTATTACCTCTCCACGGTTCGAACCCCTACAAATCAAAACCATCTGTCCATCTCTATTAACTAATCTTAACGAAAGGGGGATAATTTTGTCAGTTTCCTCACCTCCTCTTCATCCTTCCCTCTTGCCAACTATCACCATTGCCACCATTAAGAACCACATGCACCTCACACACTTCCCCACCACTGCCTACCCTCTCCCCCCTGTTAGTCCCCAATATGACGTGTAAAGTACATGTCATCACTAAATCAAACGGCTTTGACAACTCTTCTTTGTATCTATGTAAGAGCCTCACAATACAATTCCTTAAAAGAATTTAAATAAATAAATAAATAGCCCAAAATATTTATATATCTACACACACATATACATATATATATAAATATATATCTATAGAGAGAGAGAGAGAGAGAGCGCACGGGGGGGAGGGGGGGTGGTTAAAAAAAACCTTTACCTTTCATATTTCAGTAACTTTTTGTTTTCCAATATTCCTTCATGCTAGGGTGCTAGACCATCGTCTCATCATGTAGTCATCTAGTTTACTCACTTTCAAGCCTTCCTCTCGCATGTTTTCCCTCTTTTAATCAAAACAACATGTTTTAGGTTTATTTTAGTCATATAATAATCATGCATGGCCCGGTTTGAATCATCATGTTAGCTAGTTTATTTTCTTGCTTCTACTTGTTAGTTGTACTTTGTGCATAAGCATCATTTAGTAGCCTCAAACCGGGCCTAGGTTCATGTTTTGCATGTTTAGTTGTATGATAGGATCATATTTATTTATGTTCTATATGTAAAAAGCGTAAGTGGGCATCATGGTAAGTTTTCTTGTCCTCTTTGACATATGTGAGCTATTTGCATTGTCTTTTAAATAATGCAAGTTTCTATACTCTTCTACGCAAAATTATATGTTTTGAATGCTTTTTACGAAAATTATTTTTTGGTTGAGTTTATGGCCATGGGTTGATAAAGCCCACATTTTTTTGTTCTCTTAATCTAAAGTAAATAATTTTCATTTTATTCAAATCACATAGTTTTAGATTAGTTAAGGGTTTTAGGGTTTAAAATGAATTTATGTGAATAATTAACCACTAAAATGATAAAATAGAAAGTGAGTAAAGGCCAATTTTCAGATTGAGCAAGAGGGGTGCTATTATTCAATGACCTTCCCTTCTTGTACCTAAGTTCCAGAACCCGGAATTTTCTTAGTTGTGATGGACTGGTCCTTGACTTAGTTTTCATTGTTAAAGGTTTCTTAATTTCACTTAAAAAATTAAGTAGCGATTCTTTGTTGGTCAAAGCAAGTCGGTGTGGGATGCACGCCTTAGACTTGAAAAAGGCACGGCGCCCATACATAGGGACCCTAAAAGGGTGGAGAAGTAGCGGAAAAACTCGGTGTATCACAAAATAATGCTATCAAACACTGCGACAGCCTCAAAACAAGTAAAATTCACAAAGTTTTCTTACCACATTAGCAAACTAGTGGTCAAAACAAGGAAGAGAGAGAAACACCTTGATAACAAACAAAAAAAAAATGTGGAGTGAGAAAGCACTTCATAGAGAAACATGCTTAGGGTTTGGTAGGCTCTAATACCAAGTTGAATTTTATAATAAGACACTAAAGTTGAATATAGATAGATAATAGACAGAAAAGATAAAAGAAAGAACACAAAGGTTTAACATGGTTCGGCCAATATTGGCCTACGTCTACATAAATAAATCAAAGATACAAAAACCCATGATAAGCACAAATCATGGGATCTCTATATATTCTAACATATTCCATTTTTTTTGATATCTTTGGCAATATAATATTATGCCCAATATGATGTGATCAAACAAGCAGACTACGGAGCTAGGGATGTTGGAAATCTGATGTGATGTAATGGGATACTACCTCCTATTTATGAAGGGTAGGTCACATGACATGTAACAAACTTTCAAAATATTCTAGAATTCTATTAGAATATGACAGGGAATATGTTAGTGTATCAATCTGTTAGAATTTGCCTCAATCCCCAAGCATCCATTCAAGAGATCTACCAGTGTGGTCTCTTTATCAGTAGAGTTGGCCTAAGGCAATGACACCTGCAAGGTGTCATGCTGAGAAACACCTCTGTTTCTAACCACCAAGCCACATAACCCCCGAGTCCTGGGTGCCTTTGTCGAAAGCTTTTAACATACATAAGTCCTGCCTCTTGACTTAGATATTAGAGAAATGGTGAAGTATGATTACTGCAGAAATGAAGGTCACATGATACAACAACCACGAGTAAGGTCAAGTGGATTGCTTGAGTCACGAGGTTTAACCACTGCAGCATCTCATGCCTGCACGACATGAACTCCTTTTCGGACTTGGGCCCATTTTCTTTTAAAGGCAAACATGTGTTAGTCCCCAATATGACGTGTAAAGTACATGTCATCATCTAATGAAGTATCTCATGCTTGTGAGACAAAACTCCTTTTTGGGACTTGGGCATATATTCTCAAGTCTTACCAAAGTACTATGCAGGCATGGTTCTTCTTAAAGGCTGATGCGTATAAGTTCCCAATTTGACGTGTAAAGTATATGTTACCATCCATGTGTACACAACACATGAAGAAGTCAGAGATATTCACATTTTTCCCCTGCTTGCATGCCCCTTACACAACATAGAAGCATGTGCAAAAAGAGTTTAACGATGGAGTTCAAATCTTGGTGTATCTCCTTTGTCAAAGTAGCCATTTCAAATGTGGCAATGATACACAAGCCTATGAGGCTTTGAAGCAACGTGTTTCCCTGCAGTTCGTTCATGCATTTTATGCCTATGTGGCGTTTGAGGGTTACTGAACAGTCATGTCATTCATATTTAATGGTGCACAGGAAAAATTTGAAACAACATGACTTTTCCAACACACGTCTTTCCGTATATTCCCTTATAGGAAAGTTAGTCCCTAGAGCATTTCATTTGTGCTCTTCGTAGTTTTTAGAGAGAAGTTCAGTTCAGTTCTTGGTGACCCAAATTTTCTCTTGCCGAAAACTTTCATTGGCACATTTGCGATCATGATATATCACTTATGGCAGAGAGCTCCGAAGTTCCAGCACGATGAAAGTTACCAAAACCTTAATTAAACAATAAAAAGCTAATAAAACTATTTCCTAGTTATATTAAAGTTCCTATATGCCTATATTCTTCAATTTATGTTCATTCTATGCCTTGTTGTACCACATCATTATCCTCCAAAGAAGAAGATTCTCCTAGATAGGCCAAAGTATTTCTGCATTCCAAGCTTCAAGCATACTTTAGCTGGCTTTCCTAATTTGGAGGGCCCTCCCCAAGACAGGGTGAACCCTGCCCTCTTCCGTCTTGCCACCATCTTGGTGTATCAGTGCCTCGGTGCCATTATTTCTAGGACTTTCTATAGGCTTTCGGACAACTTAAAGAAAAATGGCCAGTGATATACAGGACAAAAACACTGCCAAGAAAAATTCATAACCCAATATTTTCTCAAGTTTTCCCGAGTATGCTACCCAGGCACGTATCCTTAAAGGCTGACACGCGTAAGTCCCCTATTTGACGTGTAGTGTACACGTTATTATCCATTTGTACACATGTGAAGATGTTAGAGTTATCCACACCCTCATATAGGATAAAAACATTGCCAAGAAAAATTCATAACACCATGTTGGAAGGGGAATGTTTGGCTGCAAGACCACAAAAGAACCTTCCACATACAAAATATTTGTGAGCGTAAATTGCATTCCAATTGCAATTACAAGCCTTAGAAATAAGCACTATGTTTGGTTCCATTTTTTTGAATTATTTTTTCCAAAAAGTGATTTGAAAACTCTATTTTGAAAAAAGATCTTTGTTTGGTTTTCAAAAAAATGCATTATTGCAAATTCAACTTTCCCTCCAATTTAAGGAGACAATTTTTTTTTTAAAATTTGTCACATCAAAAAATACTCCCATGTTATATATATATATATATATATATATATATGTGTGTGTACATGCTATATATGTATGAAAACATAATTTGGTATGTATCCATTTATGAGTACATATCCTACCATTAAATGAGTGACTTTATCATAAAATTTTCACTCATTTCAACCATATAAAACATATTTTTTTTACAAATTGGCATTAAAATACTTCTTACATAGAATTAAATTTTCATAAATGTTATGCAAAAAAAAAAATTTTATCACAAAATATCGTAACATTAACACAAACATGTGTAACATCGTCAAAAATTGGCATAAGAAAATGTCCAAATTTTTTGTATTTGACGTTACAAAAGTTTGTAAGTTGGTTACGATTTTTTTTTTTTTAATGCCAGTTTGTAAAAAAATTACGTTTTCTGTGGTTGAAATGAGTGGAAATTTTATGATAAAGTCACACATTGAATGGTAGGATATGTACCCATAAATGGATACATACAAAATTATGTTTTCATACATATATAGCATGTACATATATATACATATATATATATAAACAACTAACATGAGAGTATTTTTTCATGTGACAATATTATTTTTTTTATTTTTTTTTTTTAAATTTTCTCTCCTTAAATTGGAGGGAAACTTGAATTTGCAATAATACATTTTTTCGAAAACCAAACAAAGATCCTTTTTCAAAATAGAGTTTTCAAATCACTTCTTGGAGAAATAATTCAAAAAAATGGAACCAAACATATCAAATAAACTTACTTGTAAGTGCTTGATGGTATGCTTGAACAACAGCCCTAGCTAAAATCCCTGAGCCCATTACAATCAAATTCGCAAGGATCTTTGCAGCCTGAGCAAACAAATATTTGGATCAGTTAAATGTTGTAGTTTCAGTAATATGATCACACTCACGAATACATCCATGAAATTATCATATAGTTATACAAACACACATGAGCATTACTCTCTTAAAGATAAATGAAAGAGATTGTCCGTAAAGATAAATAGTGTAGGTCATTTTAATACATCCATCCTCTCTTTTTCACTCTTTCTAACACACGTGTGCATGTCCACAAACCAAGCAAATACTAGTAACAAACTCTTATGCTAACCATAGTAAACTGTACTGTGCCAATACTTCTAAAATAGCCTATTGACTTTCTTTGGATCTAATGATAAAAGAAAAACAATGCAGATTTATACTTATTAATCTCTTCTCCTTCAAACATTAGATTTTAATATTATATTGTATTTTAAACTTGCAACTGGCACATGAAAATACAACTAAAGTAGTAAATGCAAGACACATCAAGGCTGGTAGTAAATTGCCTTATGGAATACCTAAACAACCTCACTTGCAACAAAACAATAAGTTTCTTAATTGACTGATATGAGCACCCAACTAAATTTTGCTAATAAGTAGTGGGAAAGCTCTACTTGATCTTGTTAAGATTTTCAATTTCTATCGGTATGTTGTACATACATACTTGTGTTTGTATGCACAACTATATTATATGACAATACATCAGTTGTAGGAAGAAGCGTGAAGCAGGCATAGCTATAAGCATGGTTGTTTACAATTCACGATTTGATTCATACGATTGAATACAAGTTTCAACTAAAATGATTTCATTTGTGCTATTGAATATTTAAATTGAGTGAATTTTATGATTCAATTGTGATTTAGTAATTCACTGCAATTTGCTTCGAGTCATTACGATTCAGTTTTGTTTACATAATGCATAAAACGTTGTTTTTGTAAAAAGAAAAAGAAAATGAAAAAATGAAAAAAAAAAAAGAAGAAGAAAAAGGACCAATATAATGCGATTTTATATGTATATACACACATACAATTTAGTTATATTGATATATTTTTTTTCTCATTTTAAATACTAAGTGTGTATTTTTAGATGTGATTCATAATTCACTATTTTAGCAAAAACGATTCACGATTCAACTCACAATTTGACAACTATGGCAATAAGATTAGATTAAATTTTCGATAGTCCATAATCAATGCCCCATCAAAATTCATTTTTAACCATGCTTGTAACCTCTTCCGCTCCTACCTCCGATATGCATACTATCAATCATGGCCCCATCAAACTTCATTTTTAACGGTGCTTGTAACCTCCTCTGCACCTACCTCCGATATGCATCCAACGCAAATATGGCAGGCATCATCTCTTAGATACTCACCATGGCAACCCATTTCCATAAAATCTTCCACATGCAAAAAACATGTGGGAAGAATTTGACCACCACTTTACAAAAATACATTCACATATAGGGGCCGCCCAACCCTATATGAGGCCAAGGGTGAAAGATTTAATTGGGACTCTTAATAATTTTTTACACCATAATTTATATTTTTTATACTTATTTAAAATTCATACCAATATCCCTAATCTTCACAATCAACATAATTTTAATAATGATGTTTTTTGTTTTTTGTTTTTTTAATGTAAAAGTAATGATGAGACCCTTTTTTTGTTTTCAAGGATAAATGTTGTTTGGCTGATTTGACTGATTTTCTCAGATGGTTTATTTCAGTAGTGATATGATCTGACTTTAATATTCTTTTTTATTTATATAGAGAGAAAACTTTTGGCTACATTTTCGATTTTCAAAAACTATTTCAACTACAGTTTTTTGATGTATATACACATTGTACACTGAATATATAATAATTGGGCCTTCTTCTACTCGAACCCTAGCCAAGTAACCCTTGAGCCACCACGGTCCATATATGCATATAACAAGCAACCCAAACACAAAAAAAACCTAAAATGCAATCTAAAATTACAAGTACAGAAATTAATGTCTGAAATAACAGCATCATTAAAAGTTTTGTTCCGATTTGTTGTTCACTTCGCTTAATTCACAAAAGAGAGTTGCACCAGACCAAAAAAAGAAAAAAAAAGAAAAGAAAAAAAGAAAAAACATAAAGCTATAAAACCAATCATAAAATAAATTAAAAAAAAACCGTTAGATTGAAACAGCTCTGTGAAAATAAATAGAATGGCACTGTTGGGGTGCCAATTTTACAATTTCCTGCGCATTTTCTCAGCAAACAAACAGAGAAACAAGGAGAAAGATATCAAATTGCAAGAAGAGAGGGAGGGATTGGAAAGTACCATTAGCTGGATATTGATGAAGATTTTGTGATCAATAATAGGCTTCAGTCTCTCCTTGGGCGAAGCAATCAGGGGTTTGAATGGATGTATAGAAACAGAACAAAAGAGGAAAACCACGTCGGGTCTGAACTGGAGAAGGAGAAGAGGGAAGCTAGGGTTTTTGTTTCGGAATCTGAGAACTGAGAAGAAGAAGAAGAAGAAGGGGCCATTTCCCAAAATAAGCCAAATTAACAATTCAATTCCCAAAAATAAGCCAGTTTTGAAAAAGTTTCCAAAATAAGCTACATCCTGGTTCACAACCACAATTTTAATATTTATCCGCCTGTCTCGCGTAAAATCTTAGAAGTCTTAAAAACATTGTTACAAAATACGATTTTGATTAAAAAATTATGGTTATAAAATGCGATTTTGATTAAGAAATTACGGTTACAAAATTCGCTTTTAATTAAAAAGAATTTCTTCTGAAATCGCTTTTCTGAATCACGTTTTTATCCAAAAAAAAATTTCTTCTGAACTCGCTATTCTGAACCATGCTTTTTGACCAAAATTTGTTTCTGCTGAAATCGTAGTTCCCAACCACGCTTTTTGGCCAAACACATGCACTCACACAAACACTCTCACTCTCTCACTTTGACTCTGACACAAACACAAACAACCACTCACACACAGTCACACTCAATATCTATACTATCTATATAACCAAACGTAGTTGTCTTGTCAAAAGCTTCCAAATATTTATTCTTAAATTCTCATAATTTTAAAACACTCTCTTTCCTACGTGGCAACCTTCTTTGATTGCCTTTCATGTTTTCTATTTTTCTTCATTTTTTATTTCTTTGATTAATTAAAATTAAAATTAATTTCATTACTTATGGATAAAGATTTGAATTTCAAAATTCCTCCATATAAATAAACATATAAAAACTGAAAATTAATTTTATAATCTACAGATAAATATAAAAAAATAAACAATTAATTTTAAAAAAATTAATATCATAACTTATAGATAATTTAAAATTTCTTCCCATAAATAAACAAATAAAAGTTGATAAATAACTTATAAAAATTAATTTCATGGCCTACAAATAAAGATAAAGATTAAATAATTGATTTCTTTTTAAAAAAAAAAAAAATTAGTCTCTCTTTTTTTTCCCCTTCATTTCGTACTTTAATTAATTTCATTATAGATAAACATATAAAAATTCATAAATAATTTATGAAAATTTATTTCATGACCTAACCAAACGTAGTTGTCTTGTCAAAAGCTTCCAAATATTTATTCTTAAATTCTCATAATTTTAAAACACTCTCTTTCCTACGTGGCAACCTTCTTTGATTGCCTTTCATGTTTTCTATTTTTCTTCATTTTTTATTTATTTGATTAATTAAAATTAAAATTAATTTCATTACTTATGGATAAAGATTTGAATTTCAAAATTCCTCCATATAAATAAACATATAAAAACTGAAAATTAATTTTATAATCTACAGATAAAGATAAAAAATAAACAATTAATTTAAAAAAATTAATTTCATAACTTATAGATAATTTAAAATTTCTTCCCATAAATAAACAAATAAAAATTGATAAATAACTTATAAAAATTAATTTCATGGCCTACAAATAAAGATAAAGATTAAATAATTGATTAATCTTTTTAAAAAAAAAAAAAAAATTAGTCTCTCTTTTTTTTCCCCTTCATTTCGTACTTTAATTAATATCATTATAGATAAACATATAAAAATTCATAAATAATTTATGAAAATTTATTTCAT